TCTATTAGATCACCTCACTACACAGCCTCTCTTTTCTGTCTAATTAATTAATCTCAATACCTTTATCTTCTCTTCAAGGGATAGCTTCAGTTCTACCTCTCAAAATAGTCATTTTTTTCATCTTTATAGATTTCCTCTGAACCCTCTCTTGGTTTGAAGGAGTACAGAATAGAGTCCTGAAGACCTGTTCTATTGCTGCAAAGGAGATGGGAGGGAGAATAAAGTCTATTGATGAGAAAGAGGGAATAATGAAGCTAAACAAGTAGATTTCTCTAGAGAGAATGCTGTGGCCATTCTGTTTTTGTTGAAATGAGATGCAAGAAGCAAGGAAGAGAGGGGGGTGGATATACCATCTGCTGCTTGAAGGAACAATGTGAAAGAAGCCTTTTATTATCTGATGAACAGCCATATAAGAATGTCTTTTTTTTTTTGCACCATTGGATTAATTAAAAGGTATTATTGACTGAAGACAAAGCTCAAAAGGGCACTGGATAATAGAATCAGGATCTTCCAAGATCCCAGAAAATGACACTCAGCTGCAGGTAAGGGCATACACTTCAACAGGGACAAATACAGCTTTGCATTTCAGACCTAGGCCCAGTGTCCATGCGTGGGGTGAGGAAGACCCAGCTTAACAGCCATACAAGGAAACAGAGGGGGGTTTCAGTTGATGGAGGCTTTCTATTTGACAGTCTGCCTCCTGCGATGGGCTGCCAACAGCTAGACCAGTTCCCCACAGACACTGGGCAGTGGGTGGGGCATATAGCAATCTTCTCTACTTAAAGATGTGAAAAAGGAATTCTTTTTTTTTTCTTCTATTGCCTCTAATAACCCACATCAAAGCTATAGGGAGACAGGCTTGATCTCAATGTGAGAAGGGCTTTCCAACAATGGTCACAGGAACTGTGATTTGTGGAGGACTTGCCTCATGCCAGTCATTTCCTTGTGAAATTAAACACTCCTGGAAACTGAGGAAGGAGAAAAGAACTTTGAGAAGGCCTGTGCCTGGCCTGGAGTCACTCAGATCATTAATGGGAGGGCCAGAATGTATACCCCATGATTCCTAAAGCTCTGCTTTCTGCCCTGCTGTGCTGTTTCCAAAGTGTAACCAAGACATCTATCTGAAACAGAAGTGCTTTCATGGGCTGCCAGAGAAGCCTGTCATGGAGGATGTGAAGAAAAACAGGGCAGGAACTAGACAAGATGCTTCTAGCTGCCCAGAAGGTCTCTCCCAACTCAGGGAATGGGGGGTATTTTGACACTTGGCCTGAGAAGTGCTGATGGGTCTCCTCCAGGCACTGCCTCTCTTTTCTTCACAGGCTCCAGTGGAGCTGAAATCATGGAGTCAAAATCCCAGCCATACGCCCATGAGTCCCCAGGCAAATTGCTCACACGCTTCCCTGCTGCTCTCATCGGGTTGTGGGAGGATATGTCTGAGAGAGATTTACCATGTTCAGAAAGCAATCAGGACCTTACCTGACCACAATTATGACTAGCTGACCAGCCACAGGTGCATCCGGGGGCTGATACCTCCACTTGCCTCTCTTCCCCCCTCCCTCCACCTCCCAGCCAACAATTTGCACTCAATCAGGAGCAGCTTCTGTCAGCAGGGACATGTGGGTTGGTGACAAACAGTCAGAATTTGGAGCTCTGGACTGCTTCTGCCCTGAACAGCACTCTGGCTATCCTCCAGGTTGGCTTAGGGGTCCTGGGGACAGATTCTGACCCCAGCACTTTCCAAATGGACTGTGGCATTTTCCCATGTGGAGGGCTCGCCACTCTGTGTGGCTCTGACCCTTGGGAGCCTCTGTCTGCTGGCTTCTGCCTGCCAGACAGAAGAGGAGGGAGGATGTCAAGTACATGGCCACCAGCCAGAAGAACGGAGTCTGTTCACACAGAGCTGCCTACTCCTGAATCTCCTGCGCTGAAAGGACAGCCTCCCACAGGCACCCAGACTCGGTCTTTTTCTGCTTGATTTATACGACAGTAGTGAGGGCTGGTAGGCTTGGAGCTGGAACAAAACTGAGGGAAGAAAAAAAAAAAAAAACGTCATGGGAAGCAGCCTATTTTTGAAAACTGAGCTGATGCCAGGAGATTAGGTTCTGTTTGTCTTGGCTGATGGGCTTGTTTAAAAAAAAAAAAACAACCAAAAAAAAAAACAAAACAAAAACTAGCAGCGAGAGAGAGAGAGAGAGAGAGGGGGGGGGGAGGGAGGGGGGGATTTCTGCTGTATAGGTCTGCTGCTCTGGCTGTCTGAAGCATCTTGGCTTTGTTTAACCCTCCCCCCCCCCCCCCCCGCAATTCCCCCTTGCCAGAAGTACAGCTCTGTCCAGAGCAAACTCCCCTGTCAGCAAGAATTCCAATGCTGACACAGCACAATGTTGCCACAAGAGGCCCTCTCAGATTCTGGACTGCCCTCAGATTCCTGTGCATGGGGGTAATGCCTGGCAAGGCCCCCCTGCGGGCTGGGGTAGAGGTGCATTAAGAGGGAGAGGTAGTCCATGGAATGCAGAACTTAGACAATGGCCCTGCTGAGCCAATGAGCTGGTCTACTGTAGGTGTTGGAGTCAGATCTGGGAACTGGTAGGCAACCACTCAGGGTTCCATACTGGGGCTGGACAAAGGATATTCGTCTCTGCTTCAAGAGCAGCCTGTGTCCAAGATCCACATCGGTGAGCTCTTTCCCTTCCTATCTTCACCCTGCACTATGTGGGGTGCTCCTTCAGAACAGTTCTTGCTCTCTGTGGCTCAGCTGGGTGCTGGGCTCAGAACAAGCCTCCTGCCACCCTTATCCCATCAGAGGTGATGGCCTTACAGTGGGGAGGAGCACTCCTAGACGCAGCTTGAGGCCAGGCAGAACCATTATGTAAGACCATCAGAGCCAAGTTTTCTAGTAGCCAGTATATGCCTATAGTGAGGTGGGAGATGTAGCACTCAAGGGGTCAATACTGATGACCAGGTGCCAGATGGAAATAGCAGAAGTAGTAGCTGCTGTGATGTCCAGAATCAGGAAGGAACACTGTGAGGCACTCAAGCCAGGCTACCAGGCCAATCTGGCTCCTGACCTGTCCGCTCACTCATTTGTTATGCCTCCTACCGGAAAAATTTGGCACTTGTAGTTCACAGCATCCTCCCCACTACCTACCCTGAAGGTCACGGCTCTGAAGGGCAATACTGCCACCATTTTCTACAAATGGGTGATAGTTGGAAGCTAGTGCAGTAGAGATCTGGTCACCACTCTGGCTGGCCAGGGAAACTGGCTTGAAGGAGCTTGACTACTTGCAGAGCCAGACTGCAGGTGGCTTTGTATTTTTTGGTGGGTTGCGGGGCCTGAACTCTGGGCCTGAGCACGTTCCTCAGCTCTTCAGCTCAAGGCTAACTCTCTACCGCTTGAGCCACAGCACAACTTCCAGCTTTTTCTGCTTATGTGGTGCTGAGGAATCAAACCAGGGCCTCATGCATGCAAGGCAAGCACTCTACCACTGAGCCACCTTCCCAGCCCTGCAGGTGGCTTTTTCCTGAAACCCTTCTTTCTATCTTCAGGGTCGGTGGGGTGGGCTAAGGTGTGGCTCAATGGGACAGAACTTGCCAACCCTATACAAGGCCCTGTGTTCCATCTCCAACACTGCAGAAAAGAAAAACTGGGTAGGGTGTCAGAGGCATCTGCTCCTCAGAAAGCACAGTGTAAGGCCCGGCTGGGTATCCTCAGCAGCTGGAGAGAAAACAAGAGCTCTGAGTTCCCTTCAGTTCCAGGAGCTCCTGCCTTGGGGTGAAGAACAATGAGAAAGGTTCCTACAGGCCACAATGGCCAAAAAGGCCCTGCTGCAGGATGTTTATGTCAGCAGAGCCACATACAAACTTGTATACATAGCATGGTCTCAGATTTAAAATAAAGAGAGAAAACAGTCTGGCAGAAAAGGCATCAAAACGCCAACAGTACTTATTGTGGATGCTTGTTTAAATGTTTTTCTTTCTCTTTCAATGGACATGTGTTTGTCATAGAAAACTGAAATTAGCACTAGAATCATCTCCGAATGGATCAAAGACCTCAAGGTAAGAGCATATACCCTGAAAGTATTACAGGAATGGATAGGGAATACACTAGGGCTCTTTGGCACAGGTTGAAACTTCTGAAATAAAGATCCAGAATCACAACAAATCAAAGAAAGCCTGTATAAATGGGATTGCATTAAATGGCAGAGCTTCTAAATGGAAAAGGACATAGCTAGTAAGATAAATAGAAAGCCCACAGATTGGGAGATGATCTTCATTAGCTATACAACAGACAAGAGTCTCATATAAAAAATATACCTAGCACACAAAAATTAATCCTCCCAATAACAAATCCTCCAAGAAAAAAACATCCCATTAATAAGTGGGCTAAAGAATTAAAAAGAGACTTCTCTGGAGAGGAAATAAGACATATAAGCCAATAGATACATGACATCTCTGGTCATAAAAGAAATGCAAATCAAAATTACATTGAGATTCCACCTCACCCCAGTTAGAATGGCCATTACCAAGATTACAAGCTGGGTGCTGGTGGCTCATGCCTGTAATCCTAGCTACTAAGGAGGCTGAGATCTGAGGATCACGGTTCAAAGCCAGCCTGGGCAAGAAAGTCAGTTTATCTCCAATAAACCACCAGAAAACTGTTAGTGGCGCCGTGGCTCAAGTAGTAGAATGCTAGCCTTGAGCTGAAGAGCTGAGGGACAATGCCCAGGCCCAGAGTTTAAGCCCCATGACCACCACCACCAACAACAACAATAACAACAAATATATATCTAATAAAAAGATTACAATTGTCACCTTATAGTGAGGGAAAAAAGTAATGAGGAAAATAAAAAAGAAGATAGTACTCACTTCTTCCCTAGGAGCAAGTGAGGCTGAGTGTAGGCCAATGTGGCCTAAATCTCTCTTGACCACCTTGCCATGAGACCATCAGTCTCATAGCTGTACCTCCAGCTAGAGTCCTGCCACAGTGTGCAGGTTCTCCTCACCTGCAGCAGCTCCAGATCAGATGAGTCTTCCTGCCCAGGGACCATTTCTGTTAACATCTCGGACATGACTTTTGTGTTTCCCCGAACAACATCCAGCTCACTCCGCAGCCTGGCAATCTGCAGGATGGAGGGTAGGAGAGCAGGAAGGAAAGATCATTTAGATGCAGCTGGAGGACCAGAACCAATGTCCCATAGTTTGGACGACCCTATTCACAGTAAGACTTCGGTCACACCCTTCTGAATCTGTAGCCTTTGCAGCCCCCTCCACTGGGACTAGGAGGACTGGCAACTTGGAGAGAACTGGATCAGGAGCCAGGTCTCCCAGAGTCCTGGTTTCTGACTGTTATTGGTGCCTCTGAAGCAAGAGCAGAGCACAGTGAAAAATTCTGGGAAAGAAGGAAGTCAAGATGTTTCTGTTTCAGCCTTTCCTTGAAGAGGAACCTAACCAGTTAGGGCTACTGTTCTGCCTTCTAAACTCAAAGTGTGGGAGTGAGGCTAAAAACCGATTCTATGATTTTCATGGTCAAAGACTCAGTCCCTAGCAGTGTCATATTTTGAATTCTGTGATCCTCTGGGAGGCTGTACACTGCTAACAGCACTCTTCTGAATGAGGAAGAGCAAGATAGACCATAGCTGAGAACCCCTCTACACTCAGCTCTTTGATAACAAGGTCCTTGAAAATTGCCCACCCTGCCTATCCATCAGTACCTCTAAAACCTAGACATGGCCTGAGCAGTTTCTCCAGAAGCTGTCTCTCCTTGGTTTCCAGCTGAGTTTCATCTAAATCACCTCAAGACATATCTGTGGAGGCCACAAGGACCTTCTTTGCCTACAGCAAGCATCATAAAAGAATCAGCAGAAAAAGGTCTGTTGGTCCCACCATTCTCAACGGAAAACTAATATACATTGGCCAACATAAGGAACTTCCCTGAGACACTGGAAGGAGCCCTAGGAGTGAGCACAAGGAGCTACAACATCCAGAAGCACTCCTATCCTCTCCTAGCCTGTATCCTTCCCTGCAGCAAGGGGGTGATAGCCCCATACCTCACCTGGTATATATGCCCAACACCTGGTATATATGCTTCTTTTTATTCCATGTGTGGGCCAACTCCTGTACACAACCCAGAGATGGACTGAATGGGTACTCTTCCTGCAGAGGAACACTCCCTATGGTACCTCCTCCCCTCAGTGAGGCCTTTCTCTCTCCCAGTTATCCTTCAGCCTCTCCTCTCTATTGGCAGACTTAGTTACTCAGGGCAGGGATGCTAGAGGCTGAGTTCTATAGACTCAGCACAGGGTTAGGCAAGAGACTTCACTCAATGATCAGCTGGAAGATAGACTAGGGCCTGAAAAGTTCTTGCTGGCCTCTGTCTAATCTGGTGAATGTTTCCAAGGATTCTTCAATATCTTAGCTAAGAAGAGGCTTAGGGTTAGGGTGACCTAGGAGTGCTACCATTGGTGACGATGTGAACTCTGAAGCAGGATAATCGGGGCACTACCTTTTCACTTTCCCCAAGAGATACCAGGTTTCAAGGCTCCTGAGCTACTGTGCTTGCTCACACTCACTATTCCAGAGATTCCTCTTGGCTGCTCTGGTTGTTGGAAGGTCCTTTCCAAGCATCCATCACACTGATGGCATGCCAGCCAATGAGTCAGTGGCTGTCTAGCTTCAAATACGTTCTTCTAAGCAAGTAGGGACAAGCTCCAGAGAAGGAATCAGGGCCTAGAACCAAGATCTTCTGTTCCCTCATGCTCCTTTAGGGAAGGCCGTGGCCATGTGGGTAATGATGAGGGGCTGTGTTTAGTGATCCAGGCTCATACAAAGTACAGGCCCTAAATTTCAGCTGTAGGATTGGAACTCCTGCCCCAGAGCACATAGGGCCACATGAGAATCTTCTCCATCTGCTGCTCAAGGCCCTAGCTGCCCTGCAGGGTAGGATTATCACCTGTTCTGGTAATAGGAGACTGAGGTCAACTGTCTCGCCAAAGCCCCACAGTGAGTGGCAGGGTACAGCTCATACAGTGTGCAGCTGTGTGACTCTCAGCTTGAATCTTGCTTGTACCATGTTCCCTCAGTGCTGGCAGAGAAGTGAGAGGGAAACAGCCATGACACAACACAGCTGTCACCTACACAAAATCACCTGACCTGGTTTTTTGTCTGTTTGTTGTTGTTTTTTTTTTGTCGGTTGTGGGGCTTGAACTCTGGGCCTGAGCACTGTCCCTCAGCTCTTCAGCTCAAGGCTAGCGCTCTACCACTTGAGCTACAGTGCCACTTCCGGTTTTCTGGTGGTTTATTGGAGATAAGAGTTTCACGGACTTTCCTGCTCGGGCTGGCTTTGAACCCAGATCCTCAGATCTCAGCCTCCTGAGTAGCTAGGATTACAGGCCTGAGCCACCGGTGCTCAGCACCTGACCTGTTTTAATGAGGTTTCATAACAATGACCTTATGACAAATAGGAAACTAAGGATTTGGGGAACTATAAACATTGGGTAACTTTTTAAAATCACTAATGGAAATTCTACAGATTCATCTAAAGATCAGTCTCCACAATTCATCTAAAAATGCCTATTTTGAGATAAAACTGCATTGGTATCTCAGGAAGTAACCCAGAAAATAGGAGCTGTATTTGAGATGAGGTGAGAATTCTGCTTCTAAAAGGCCTCCCTGATTTTAGCCTCTGTTTACTTACTTGCTGATGGGTTACTGGCCTCAGGTGGCTGACACTTCTTACAGTAAATCTCTCTGTATGGCAGATAAGTTGTTCACAATTTGTCTATGTGCTGTACTTTTGGCTTTGCTTTCTGTCACTATCCTCTCTTACCTGGGCACTGCCTATGTACCTCTGCAGGCAGGCCACTTGGTGTTCCCCGAGGAGCTCCATTATGCATAATACCTGCATTAAGCTGCCACTGCCTGCACAGGCCTCACGGGACAAAGCCCCAGGCCTATTTCAGGGTCCCCAGGGCATCAGCTCCCAGGCTGCCTTCCAGGAGCATGTGCCTTCATGGAGTATTTGGCTCTGATGACAACAGTCTGTCTCATCCATTTTCTTGAATCATTCCCCCCAATCTTTTTTTTTTTTTTGGTCCCCTATACCTAGCACAGTACCTCATTTGGGGAGACCCCCATGTGTTACCCTGGAAAGGGCAGAAGGAAAGCTAGTTGGTTTGTCTATGGATGGAAGTATGGAAGTACCTGTTCTGAATTGGCCGTGATGGGACCAGTCACATTCAGAGCTGGGGCCTGTGGAGTGGTGTAGGAAGCAGGAAGCGGTGAGGAATAGGAGCTGGTACTTGTCCTGTGCTGTGACTGGGACCTAGGCATGGTTGTAGCTGGATCCACTTCCGGGACACTCTGGCATGACAATAACAAAGGCTTTGGTTCACTTGGGTAGTCTATGCAGCCTGGCCTGGCATTAACCCCAGCCCAGGTGGTGCTTTCTATTAGAGTTCAAGGACCTTCTCTGTGCCTACCCAGTCACTCCATCTGGGTAGCAGGGCCACAAGTGGCTCCTCCCTCCGTCATCTCACAAGGAGCTTGTGGCAGGCAACCAACATAACTCAAAAGGGCCCCACAGAGAAAACTCTGTGAGCATTCTGGTCATGGTTCCATCATTAAGACCACCTCAGGATTAGAGTGGAGGGAGGGCTGTTATTAAGTTTTGCTAATCATGAATCCTTATTTCGTACCACAAGACTATGCTTTGGCCTTTACAAGTAGAATAATATAAATAGCAATTATGCAATTTACCGAATGTTCTTTGTAATTATAAGAACAACCAGTCTGTTCTGTCTAAGTCATTATTAGAAGAATAAAGCAGGTTATGTTTATACCACAAAGCATAGTAAGTGGTTTGGAGAGATCAGAATGAGAAATGCTTTGGAAAGTGGGCATGTCAGGTAACCTCATCAACCACAGTGCTGGTATTCACATGAATTGTGTACCCCACACTGCACTTCTCAAGACACTCCTGTTGGACATGGCAGGTACAAATCAGCAAGGCCAAATGTACTGTGACAGGTACCTTTTCAGATCCTGAGTTTTTCTGGCTGTGACTCTGGGCCAGGAACTGCTTCCCAGGTATCATAGAGACTTACTTCCCTGTGGAACCATGAATGGTACTGGCTTAATTCTGAGATATTTAATTCTGAGGCACAGGCCCAGCTTCTGTGGGATGCCTTGACACAGACCTTTACTGGGCTTTGAATTGCAAGAATGACAGAATTCAAGGATGCCAGAACTGATTCTGAATGCCCAGAGCTAAAAATCATACTTCAGATGCATTTGACTGGGCTGGAGTGTAGCTCAGTGGTAGAGTGTGTGCTTAGCATGCAAAAAGACTTCGGTTACATCTCCAGCACCACATCAAAAAAAAAAAAAAAAGATCCAATTGCTGTGTACTGTTGAAAAAACAGAAAGTTGCTCTTTTGTTCTTGATGAGTAATATCACCCCAGTTCATTGCTCCCAGGTACTCAGGTACTCCAGAGGATGGTGGATAGATTCCCATACACATTCTATAGGCCTTTGCAAAGCAGGTGCTAATGACCCTCACAGGATAGCTCCACCCAAGCAGCCATCTCCATGAAAACACTGAACTGATCCCTCTATTATATTCCTCCACAGTCAGTGTGAAAATGGGGGAGACACAGCTGCCACTTAATCACCAGTCAACCAGCTGTCTTCCTCTTGCATTCCCCTTGTTATTAAAAAGAAATGCCCTGGAGCTTTAAGAAAGCATGATGACAAGCTGAATAATTCAAAGGCAGCAGCAGAAGGGTGGTAGCAGCGGCTTGGCTCACCAGTTCTATAGTTGGTCTTTCTAGAAAATGCCAGCTGGAAGCTTACCCGCTGGGGTGTGTGGATAGGGGATAAAGCATCCAAGTCTGCCATGGGAAATTCAATCCCCTTCCTCTTCAGCTCCTCATATATGTGCACAACACCAGTTAGATCAGGACTGCTCCGAAAGGCATCAGCCCATGCCTGGGAAGAGAGGAAGGCCTGTTAGGAAGCAGTTCTTCTTACCCAGGGCCACAAGGTATAGAAAAGTCAGCCCAGGCCTAAGGCTGGTAGCTTTGCAATTCTTATTGCCAACAGTATTGGGAAAAGTTTCCTCTGTTCTTCTGCAATTGCTGCCATGACAAGGCTGGCAAAATCCTTTGCTTTCAATGGTGCTCTTGAGCGTGAACAAAAACACAAAACTTAATTCAGCATGCATTTCCTTGGAGAAGAGGCAGAGAAATAACACCTAAGCACCGTGGTGCATCCTAAGATGTAGGCATTTGCTTAATAGCAAGGAAATCAATTGGAGAGGCTGTTCGGCTGAAGGGAGTAGAAGGTTTGCTTCGGTTCCTCCCAGTAGGACGCCTGCCCTCCTCAGTGGAGGCAGGAAAGGTAGGCAAATTGAGCATAGAGTAAAGGAGAAATTGATGAAGGATGGGAAATCAAGGCTAACTCTAGGCTTCCTCCATAGATCAGAGACTGCTAAGGCAATCTAGTTTAGCCCAGCCCCATTATTGGCAGATGGAATGACTCCAGCTCAGGGATGCAAGAACCCAAAGGGAGCCAGAACACCATCAGTGGCTAGAGTTCACCTGCAAGAGTCTTGCTCCAGCCCCTATTTTCTTCTATTATATTGTGCTGCTGACAGTGTCAGAACACATCTGCCCACAGAACTATAATGGAAAGCAAGACCTGTAGACTCCCTTAAATGAAAACACACACAAAGAGGAAAGAGCAGAAAAAACGAACAGATTACCATATTCATTAACTTATAAAACCATTTTTTAAATGTTGTAATTTGGAAGTTTCAGAATGTACCCAAACCAGAATTGTATCTAAAGGGCTCCTCAGAAATTGGGTCCCCTTTCAGTGCTGTGTTCTTTACCAGATGTACGTACCCAGAGGAGGAGGCAGCACCTCTTGCACTCATGGCACCATGGCACTGACTGTAACATTGTCACAGCATTTAACAATGCCCTACTGCCTCCAGCAATGTGATCCAACCAATCCTCAAGCAGCCACAGAAACTCTATCTCTAACTAACATACCCACTGGAAGTTGAAAGGTCAGTTTCCAAAAGGCCTCCTTAATTACACCTTGTGTGTATCTCACTTACTGCAAACAGCACTGGCAGCTTGACTTTCTTTACTTGGTGCTCTTATTTAATTTGCATACTCAGGAATTGAATGCCACTATGGCATCAAGACAGCCTATCTGGGCCAACACTTTCTTTTAGATTTTGAAGAGTGCTGAAGTTGCCTACAGAGGCTGTCAGGAAGACTCAGCTGGAAAGCATGCTGCCTCCATCAGCCATATCCCCTCCAGTGCCCCAGAGCCCACTCCCACCCGCTGCTCAGCAACCTCCTTCAAAATCCAGCGGAGTCCTGTGACTCCAACTCTGCTTTAGCATTTCAGTTTAGCACCCAAACTTGACAGTCTAGGACTAAGGTGGAGCATAGTGGCCGACTGTTTGCCTAGCATGCACAGGGATCCTTAATTTCCATCCTTAGTGTAACAATAAATAAATAAATAACTGAGTCTACAGATCACATTCATAGCCCACTTGGAGGGGGTTGGGTGGGAGGAGGAAGGGGGGGATGCTGAGGAAAAAAGCATGGCAATTTCTCCTAGTGACACTCTCTGCTTCTGTTTCCATGGGAGAACAAATGGCTCCAGAAACCCCTATTTTTTTCCATTGTTTCCTACCCAGGCCAAATTTGAGACAATAAGAAAAAGGACCAGGAGAGCTCTTGCCTAGTGAGCATAAAGCCTTGAGTTCAAACCCCTAAACAAAGGAAGAAGGAGGAGGAGAAAAAAGAAGGAAAGAAGAGGGAAGGAGGAAGAAGAAGAGGAAGAAGGAGGAGGAAGAAAGAGAAGGAGAGGAAGAAGAAAGGAAAGGGGAGGGACTGGGAAGGTAGCTCAGTGGTAGAGCGCTTGCCTTGCATGCATGAGGCCCTGGGTTCGATTCCTCAGCACCACATAAGCAAAAAGAAAAACGCGGAAGTGGCGCTGTGGCTCAAGTGCTAGAGCACTGGCCTTGAGCTGAAGAGCTGAGGGACAACGCCCAGGCCCAGAGTTCAGGCCCTACGACTGGACCCCCCCCCCCAAAAAAAAAAAGAAAGAAAAGAAAAGAAAGGAAAGGAAAGGGGAGAAGGAGTAAAGAACCATAGTGCTGTCTCCTGTTCAGTGGATACTTTTCAGGGCCCCTCTTGTATAGACTTTCCCTCCTCTGCATTCACAAAGATTCACAGGAGTAGTTCTGCAGCCCTACTTGGGCTCCAGTCACAGTAGCTCAGTTCCAGGCCTCAGGAAGAGATGGTCCTCTTTTGGTAAAGAAACTGTCCTCTGCTGGGAGCTGGTGGCTCACATCTGTAATCCTAGCTACTCAGGAGGCTGAGATCTGAGGATCATGGGTCAAAGCCAGCCCAAGCAGAAACACCTATGAGACTCTTATCTCCAATTAATCACCAGAAAACTGGAAGTGGTGCTGCAACTCAATTGGTAGAGTGCCAGCCTTGAGCCGAGGGACAGTGCCCAGGCCCAGAGTTCAAGACCCACGACTGACAAAAAGAAGAAGAGGAGGAAGAGGAGGAAGAAGAAGAACAAGAAGAAGAGGAGGAGGAGGAGGAGGAAGAGGAAGGAAAAGGAGAAGAAGAAAATGAAGAAGGAGGAGGAAGAAGAGGAGGAGGAAGGAAGAGGAGGAAGAGAAGGAGGAGGAGGAGGAGGAGGAAGAGGAGGAAAAAAGAAAGAAACTGTCCTCTATAAATGTGGGCCTTGAGAGGTAGCCATGTGCTAGTACAATACCAGGGGACAGGGATAGAAAAGGAGCAGCTGGTGTGCTAAGAGGAGCAGACATGCGAAGAGAGGATTTGGAGGGCTTTCTTGATCCTTTCTGTCCTTTCCCAGGCCCAGACACATCCCTGGCCTGTGTGACCTGGGCTTCTGGGAGGCTCAGCTTTGTCAGGACAATCTCTCTCCTCTTTGCCTAGGCAAGCACAGTTGGTGTCTGTTATTTGCAGCCAAGCAGTCTTGACTAATGTACCCTGTCCCCACCTGCCACAATTCTAGCCCATGTCTGGGACCCCTGGGCAGCCTGGGTGAGATGGCTGCTAACAGAGCATATGTTCATGACAGCAATCTCCACTGATTAAGACTCTGATGCCAACAGATGAACAAAAGGCGGGGGGGGGGGGGGGGGGGGGGAAGAGATTTAAAGGAACAGTCTGATGTGAAAGTGCAGAGATGGGAGAAGCCTAGGGGTGCCATGTATTTCTCAGGATCTTCTTGGGACATGCCTACATAACAGTGTTCCTGTCTCCCACCTCTCACCTTTTGACAGCACATACACATCTCTTGTCATTGCACAGAGAAGGCCATCAGTCAACATCTGTCAAGTTAAATTGAAGTCAATTCTCATAGTTACTAAGCATCCTTATTTCCCTACTTCCACACACACAGGAAAGATGGCCACTTATGCTGTCAACAGTGACAGTGATAAAGTAAGACCCCCTCTGGAAGGCTGAGGCAGCAGAGAATCCTCCCTAGGGGAGCTGTGTGGCAGCCTAAAGTCTGGGCTGCCCCAAGTCCCTGACCTGGAGGCTAGGAATGGCAGGGAGGAGGGGGAAGGCTGCCTCCCCAGTAGCTGCCTTATAGGGAAGTCATGGCAGCAGGAGTGCTGGCATTCTCTCAGGGTCCCTGTCATACACACTGGCCAGTTAATGAGGAAAGTGGCCACTTCACCGGAAGCCATGCTTTACATAATTCTTTCTTTTCATGCCCCTGGGTGCAGTCTTGGAAGGTTGGAAGATAGAGATCCATTTCTGCTTCATTCCTTTGGACTGTATACTAAAGTACAGACACAAATATGCACCTCATCCTCTTACTTCTGTATCTCATGGTTTTGACTGGTTTTGAGTTATCAACTTGAGACTCATAAATTGTTTATTTAAACTATGTGTCTTGAAATACTACTGGATAAAGCTTTGTCATCTCTTGCTAACAGGGGGTTTCCAGAGAGATCCAGTGGCATTCAGTTGAGGGAATCTAGGGGACACACTTTCCACTGGACATTCTGGAGGCAGCTGCCAGGCCTCAGATACTGTCAAAGAACACAATCCCTCCAGCTCCTCCTGCCCTCTTACTCCCCCACCCCCACCCCAATCAGCTCACTTTCTACAGTGGAAAAAAGAAACTGCAGTGGAAAGAGAGTATTTTTAGACTCTTTCTGAGGAGCAGAGAGGGGCAGGAGGCATACCAGGCTGAAGTTGTTTCACAGGATGATCTATTTCTGATACCCAAGACAATTTTAGGGCTGATAACCAGTGGTTCACACCTGTAATCCCAGCTACTTAGGAGGTAGATATCAGGAGGATCAAGGTCCAAGGCCAGGCTAGGCAAAAAGTTTGCAAGAGTCTCAATCTCAACAGAAAAAGCTGGGACAGTGCCTCACGCCTGCCATTCCAACTATAATGGGAAGTGTAAATAGGAAGATCACCAATCAGGCCAAATAACCACCAAGGGAAAGCCTGAGGGATGGCATGGAATGGCAACATCCTTCAACAAACGGGATTTAATGAGAGGAAACAAAAGAAAGCATGAGCCCTGAGACCAGCCAAGGGAAAACTTGAGAGTGAAAGAAAAAGATAATGGTCAGTGAAGTCTGCAGTAGCCAAGGATACTATCAATATTCTTCTGACCCTTCCTGCTAGGGAGAGTGACCCCACCCAGAAGGACAGATGCCCAGGTGGAGTGAGCCTATGAAGGCCTCACACCTAAGTGTGGTAAACAGCCCAAGAATCAGGCATGGAAAATGAGAAGGATGGTCTTCTTTGAGTGTTCCAAGGGGCAGGGCCCTCCAGAGAACCCAAACTTGAAGTTTTTTGTTTTTTTTTTTAATGGGTGGGGTGAGGAAGAGGGAGGTGGCTATCAGGGGCTAGAGGCAGCCAGAAGACAAATGAGCAGCAGGATGGAATACAGGAGGGAAGGAAGGGATGTGTCATCTGGGTCTCTCTCCTTGGCAGTGCTGGGAATGAAACCAGGTCCTCCCATGTGTCCAGCAGTCACTCTACTTATGAGCCACATCACTAGCCCCTGGATTTTCTTCACAGTCAGCCAAGGGGGTTCCTGATGGCAAACTTGCCACTGTGATGAATATCAAGGAAGTGATCAGGGGATGGTAGGCTGGACACAGGCAAACATAAGAGGACAAATTCCACTGCTACTCCCAACAAGCATAGGAGACTTTGGAAAAGTTACTTTGATGCCCAGCCTACCCTCAATCCCTTCACACTATGGCAGCCCTCCTCCCATCTTGGGATAACCTATGGGGCAGTGGGTTCAGGTCAATGACTAGAAATCAGAGCCAAAGGCTCCCCTTCTGCAGACAGCTGTCTTTGCACAAGGAGTTCAGGATGGGGCACCCCATCTTCTATGAGAAGAAAGCTACCATTTGTTTTCCTAGCAGCTGGGGGTGAGTCAGTGTGTAGCCCCAGAAGAAGAGGCTGTCTATGGGGTAGAGGTGGAAGGGAGGAAGAGAGTATACTCATGGGAGTTGGGGGGAGGGGACAGGGATAACTCTAGGGGAAGGGCTCAGCTATCACTTTCATGCTGTCCCTTCCCCTAAGCTTCAATGAGCTACATTTATCCACTAAACACCATTTAGCATACACAATTACTCTAGACCCTGGGGACACTGTGTCCCTGAGCTCTAGGAACCTTCAGTGAGGCCAGCAAGTAACTCCAGGATTGAAGACAAAAGGTGATGTGAGAGTGTGGGGAGGTCTGGGGAGGACTTTCCAGACAGCCACAGGCTCATGCCTCAGGCTCCTCTCCAGCCTCAGGCCTACCCAGCCCTGTCACTTGAGAACCCCTGTGTGTACACACTCTGGCTTCTCTGTTTCTGTTCCCCAGCCTCTCAAGTCTGATGCCTCCTGCTGCCCTTGCTGACACCCCATCCCACTCCTTGGCTTGGTCTTCCCTCTCTTCTTGGCTCCCTCAAGCCTCGTCTCAATTTTGTCTACATGGGTGACCTACCCATGTTGAATGTCCTTATGGATTTATGTATCCTGCCATCAGATTTACATATCCTCACTGCCTACAGGACCAATCCCAAGCCATTTAGTACATATGCCACACAGCCCTGCCATCCTCTGACCTCACCTCCTGCTCCCATATGACTAGCCCAACACTCTTAAAAAGATATCCACAGGCTGGCACGGTGGCTCAGTGGTACAGTGCTTGCCTTGCATGCATGAGGCCCTGGGTTTGATTCCTTAGCACCACATAAGCAAAAAATAAAAGCTGGAAGTGGTGCTGTGGCTCAAGTGGTAGAGCGCTAGCCTTGAGCTGAAGAGCTGAGGGACAGGGCCCAGGCCCAGAGTTCAGGCCCCATGACCAACCAAAAAAAAAAAAAAAAAAAGATATCCACAAATCTCTGACCCTCACTTCTTTTTTTTGGTCGGCCGTGGGGCTTGAACTCTGGGCCTGGGCGCTGTCCCTCAGCTCTTCAACTCAAGGAGAGCGCTCTACCACTTGAGCTACAGCACCACTTCCGGTTTTCTGGTGGTTTATTGGAGATAGGAGTCTCACGGTCTCTCCTGTCCGGGCTGGCTTTGAACCGCGATCCTCAGATCTCAGCCTCCTGAGTAGCTAGGATTACAGGCGTGAGCTACCAGCACCCGGCCCTCACTTCTTCAAGAGGTGAAATTTAAGCCTCCTACCTTTGCAGTGGGACCTAGTAATTTCCTTCTAAAAAAAGATAATGTATATGACTTCCTGGACAACCATTTAGTGGGAAACTCAGGTCTCCTGTTAATACTTAGCAAGGAACTGAGGCTTCCTGTCAATAACCATTGGGGGAGGAGGGTGTGTACCATCTTGGAAGCAGAACCTCCAATCACAGTGGAGCCTCAGGACAAATACCACCTAACGAGAGATCTCAAGCCAGCATCTCCCAGTCAAGCTACTCCTGGGTGCCAGGCTCATAGAAACCAGGAGATGATATATAAGCTGCTAAGCTTTGGATAATTTGTTACATAAATATTAATGTGTCAACTGCTTTCCTGATACTTTTGGGCCTTTGCACAGGCTTTTCTCTGCCTCAGATGCTTCTTATACTATGATCTTTCCACAAGCTCTTCCCTTACTCTTCAGAGTCTGACAGAAAAGTCACTGCTTCAGTAAAACATCCCTAATACTATTCTTACCCCAGAATTTTTCCTTGCTCTACAACCTCTCAAACCCTGCACATAGGTCTAACATGGTCCTTCCTATTCTACATTGTCTCAAAACCCTGTCCAGGAACCCCAACCTGCCAGCCTTTGTGGGCAGCAAAGGGATAGGCACCCAAAAGGTTTTCTGAAGGCTCTGTCAACTGGCTAGAGAGCCACCACTTAGGGGTTGATTCATTCCATTGGGATGAATATGCAAAAATATGTTTTGCTTTTTCAAAATTACTTATTTTATAGCATATATTTAAACCTGAAAACTTTTTTTTTTTTTTTGGTCGTGGGGCTTGAACTCTGGGCCTAGGTGCTGACACTGAGCTCTTCAGCTAAAGCTAGCACTCTACCACTTAAGCCATAGAATCACTTCTGGTTTCCTAGTGGTTCATTGGAGATAAGAGTCTCATAGACTTTCCTGCCCAGGGTGAATCGTGATCCTCAGATCTCAGTCTCCTGAGTAGCTAGGATTACAGGCATGAGCCACTAGTGCCCAGCCTGGAAACCATTTCCCCCCCATTCAAATGGTCAAAGAGCATGAAGATGCATCAGGGGCCCTAACAAATCAGGTGAGGGAAGCCAGCCTACCTGGATTAGAGCAAGCACTTTGTCCTGTACAATGGTGGGAGGGTTGTTCTTAGGAGAGATGATTTTGACCAGAACGCTGTCAATGAAGTCTCGGTTGGCCACAAGGATATGGAAGCGGTGGCCACAGTTCTTTACACATGTCTCCAGCACCTGATGTGGGGAGGGAAGTGAGAGGTTACCACTGTGGGAGCTAGAGGAAACACTGGGAACTAAGGAGGACAGCTGAGTTCCCCACCCCTGTCTTGTTCCTAGATCATCTTCCTGACACGTCTCCTCCAGAGCCAAACCTCTGCGCACAAGCATTCCCACACTCTAATTCAGCCGCTCCTGTGGGATGACAGCAGCCGGTGCTGACTGAAAGCTCCTGTCCCTGCACAATAATCAGGCAATTAGTTGGTAATTGAGGCACCGGTTTTGCATGAGAAGGATGCTGGTGTTTTAATGGGATCAAAATGACTGAGCGGTCCCTGAAAATTAGCATTTTAACTCCTCTCTCTGGGCCTCTGGGTGTGAGACATTAACCAATGGGACACAGGCTCTGTTACAGGAGAAGGCTGCTGTGACAGCTTGAATTGTCAGTGAGTTACTGACCCTTGTGTATGGAGAAGCAAACATACACGCAAACACACACATACACACACACACATACACACATATTCTGCTTCTCTGATAAATTCAGCAATGACAAGGGATATTTTACCCTTGACAAATGGTTTGTGAGACTCAGTTGCTAGTTGGTTTTAAGATCCAAGTTCAGGTCACATCCTGCCCACTCCTCCCTTGTGTGGGGTAGCCCTTAGGCCTCAGCTGTTCAGAGAGACTAGCTGATGGATTCTGACCAGGTTATCAATGGGGCTTGGCATCAGACACTTCTTTCCTGTATGGCCAAGGACAAGTCTGTCTGGACTTCAGCATCCTCATCTGCAAAGCAAGATGATCTCTTCCTTGAAGTATGGTTGGAAGATTAGAGAGGATGTATATAAAACATCTAGCAGTGTCCTGTACAGGGTAGGGAATTACTATGATTGTAGAATACTAATCTAGAAGGCAAATAAAGGGAGATCCTACTCTCTCATAGGACAGACAAGAGGTCTCTTCGAGTCCAAAGGTATAACTGTACGGTTTCTCAGGGTTTGTCTGTTTGTTTTTAGTATAAAGAATTTGAACTTAGGGTCTCATGCTTGCAGGCAAGTGCTCACCACCTGAGCCACACCCAACCTTAGATTATAATTCTCCTAACTACAGCCTCTGAAGTAGCTGGAATTATAGGTACAAACCTCCATGTCTGGCTTGTTTGTTGAGATAGGGTTGTCTCACTATTTTGCCTAGACTGGTGTTGAACTATGATCCTACTCATCTCTATCTCCCAAGCTGCTAGGATTATAGACCTAGTAGCCACCATGCAGGACTGCTCCAGCCTTGAACATAATTCTCTGATCCTCTGGGTTCGATGGAAGACAACTCATGCAACCCTCTTTAGGGGCTCAGTCAACTGACAGGAATGCCTCCTCAGGGATATCACCAGCAACAAGGGGCATTTCTTTTTTTTATTTTTATTTTTTTTATTATCCTAAGGGGGCATTTCTGATTGCCACATTTATTCTCATTTACCCAAACTCATCTGACTGTGGGTTAACTTACACAGCCATTCCAAAGTATGATTCATACCATCATTCTTTTCCTTGACCGAACATTGTCAGAAAGAAAGGTCCCAAACTGACATTGACTAAATGCTGCCTATATACCAGGCACTATGATGTCCCTCTATACCATATGTAATTTCAATCCATTCTAAGTAAATCTTTTACCACCTCCTCCCCCTTTTTTTAAAGTTATGAGGCCTACAAAGGTGAAGAGATGGCTCTAAGTACAACATTGTTGGTTAATGCCAGAGGCAGGATGGGAATTCTGATCTGCCCTCTCAGAAGCCCTGGTCTCCTCACATATCTGGGGACACCAGGCTCTCCAACGAGCTGCATGAGTGAGAGTCCCTCATATATCAAGCAGAGTATACTAGATTTCTTGTCCACTATTTTGTTCCTTGAAATAACCCTAGAAAGTAGACACTATCCCACTTTGAAGATGAGGAAATGGAGGTTCAGAGGTACTTAGGGGCCAGAGTGGGACTCCTGATGCCCCTGCTCCATGCACCAGGAAGTCTCTTTTTTTTTTTGTCGGTCGTGGAGCTTGAACTCTGGGCTTGGGCACTGTCCCTGCGCTCTTCAGCTCAAGGCCAGCGCTCTACCGCTTGAGCCACAGTGGCACTTCCAGTTTTCTAGTGCTTTATTGGAGATAAGAGTCTCACAGACTTTCCTGCCCAGGCTGGCTTTGAACCTTGATCCTCAGATCTCAGCCTCCCGAGTAGCTAGGATTATAGGTGTGAGCCACCGGTGCCCGGCTAGGAAGTCTCTTTTGTACAGCTCTTCAGAGCCACCACAGAGCTCTGGTTTTACTCAGCTAAGGGAGCTGCTTGTACCTGATTCTGTTCACCAAGAGGTGAAGAGACTTCATGCTCAGTGATCTGTGAGGCCATCAAAAGGAGCCAGAGTACCTGATTCTGTTCACCACAAGGTGAACAGGCTTCATGCTCAGTGATCTGTAGGGACTATCAAAAGGAGCCAGAGAGGTACTTCCTGCCCTCAAGCGGCTTGCAGGTACTCTTTTCTCTAGGATTCTCTACAGCCTTCTCTTGACTCAGGTCAGAGCTGCTGGGCCAGGAGGAACAGGTAGAGAAGGGCAAGGCAAGAGGTAGGGGAGCAGGTGTGAGTGGAGAGAACAGGAAACAAAGGCAGGCTGTGGTCAGATAACAGGGAAACCTATGGCTTTGTCTCCACTCCCAGGGTAGAGACTTCAGTTCCAAAAAGCAGACTTCAAGGCCCATGAGTCCCAGCTTGCTTTTGGAAATGCCTGATGTGTACGTGTTACAGAGCAGCTCACGCCTATCTAAGCAGGAGATACAAGAAACCTTCTGGTGTGAAGTGGCAAGAGCCACTTCAGGCCACTCTCACCCAAAGGCCCCTGTAGGTTCTAGGGCCTAAGGTGCAGTGGCAACTTTCTGGGTTCAGCCAAAACCCACAGGTTTAGGCAATCAGAAGTGGACAACTGGGGCATATATATGGGGGCTAAAGCAGATAGTGCCTTAGGAGCTCTCCTACTTCAAGAAAATATGAACTGTCTTGGTAGGGACAGTTTATGTGGCTTAGGAAAGAGCCACAAAAAGCAGCAGAATTTCCGGCCACCAACAAAACAAGTTAGGCCATCAAAGCAGATGTAACCACGAAAAGTGTGCCAGGAAGGGGGACAACTCTGAATACCAACATATCTCCCAAAACTATTATTGGATTTGTAGCAAAGACTTGACTAGTTGGAAGGCCAGATGTATCAGCCAGGCCCTGCTGTAGGAAGGCAAGAAAAAGCAGCCTCTTTGGAAAGATTTCTACCCAGGATGGCCACCAGGAAGCTGTGTGAGAGAGCAGTGTTAGATACCAGAAAGATGCCCTGACATGTTCCAGCTCCTTCCCTGCTGATGTGAAGTGGTAACTTCTGTGAGCACTGTAGCTCAAATTGAGGAAAAAAAATTAAAACTTTCAACTATTTCTCAATTGGCCTCTTTGCCTTTATTATTCAATTCTCAGGAAAAAGAGAACTCTTCTAATAAGTTTTGGGCTTTTACTTGGGAAAAAGAAAAGCCAAAACTTCTCTGCTTTAAAAGGAAACATATTATGGCTGTTTTGGATAAATAACCTACTATTTCAAATCTACAGAAGTCGACATGCTGACCTGTTATAGTTTTCACTATAAAAACTTACTGTGGCCCAGATTTTGCCACATCTGAAACACTGTTAGCTTTCAAGACAGAAATAGCATCTGAAGTCTCCCTTTTAACTCTCTGACTTCTTAAGAAGAGCAAAAAGCTGCTCTCTTCTACCTGAAAAGAATATCTTGGCTGACTTTTTCTTTTCTTTTTTTTTTTATTTTCTTGAAGGTATGCTTATTTCTTTTTTTTTTTTTTATTTTATTTTATTTTATTTTATTTTATTTTTTTATTGTAAAGCTACTATACAGAGGGTTACAGTTACATGAGTGAGGTTATGAGTACACTTCCTCTTGAACATTGTTACCCCCTCCATTGTTTTCCCTACCATCCCCTCCCTCCCTCCCTTCCCCGAGGTTCTTTTTTTTTTTTTTTTGATTGTGATTAAATGATTACATAATTTCAAAGTCACAAGTTCATTCTAACTTCCCTGGAGCAAATTGTCTACCACAGTCTGTAATATATAACAGTGTTCACATGTTATATACCATATTTGTGATCAGCAGCATGAGGATATTTAGTAGTGGTTCAACCAGATGAGCGGGAGTTCTTTGTTTCTTAAGTCCTGTTAGTTTTGTCGTATCACTAACCTTTTGGATTTAGCATCCACTTATGAGGGAGACCATGTACCGTTTGTCTCTTCGTTCTTGGCTTACCTCGCTCAACATGATTCCTTCTAGCTCCATCCATTTCCCTGCAAATGCCATTATTTTGTCATTTCTAATGGCTGCATAATATTCCATTGTGTATAGATACCACAATTTTTGGATCCATTCATCTGTGGTGGGGCACCTAGGTTGTTTCCATATCCTAGCTATTGCGAACAGTGCTGCAATAAACATGGAGGTGCACGTGTCCTTGTATATTGGTTCCTGTTGTTCAGGGTAGATGCCTAGAAGTGGTATGACTGGGTCGTAAGGGAGATCAATCTTTAGCTTTCTAAGGACCCTCCAGACTGCTTTCCAAAGTGGTTGTATAAGTGTACATTCCCACCAGCAGTGTAATAGGGTTCCTCTTTCTCCACATCCCCTCCAGCATTTGTCGTTGGCTGATTTGTGGATGTGGGACATTCTGACTGGGGTAAGGTGGTATCTCAGGGTTGTCTTTATTTGCATTTCCTTCACCACCAGGGATGATGAACATTTCCTCATGTGTTTCTTTGCCATTTTTATTTCTTCATTTGAGAAGTCCCTCTTTAGTTCCCTTGCCCATTTAGTAATTGGTTTGTTAGGTTTGGGAGGGATTAGTTTCTTGAGTTCCCTGTATATACAGGATGTTAACCCCTTGTCTGATATATTGCTGGTAAATATTTTTTCCCAATTAGTTGGTTGTCTTTCTAGCTTAGTTGCGATAGATTTAGCTGTGCAGAAGCTTTTTATTTTAAGGTAGTCCCATTTGTCGAGTCTCTCTCCAACTTGTTGTGACCCTGGGACTCTGTTCAGGAAGTTCCTTCCTGTGCCTATTAGTTCAAGTGTCTCTCCTACTCTGTCCTGCAGTAGTTTCAGAGATTCAGGTTTAATGTTAAGGTCTTTAATCCATTTTGAGTTGATGTTGGTGCATGGTGATAGGCTGGGGTCCACTTTTAGTTTTCTGCATGTGGCTGCCCAGTTTTCCCAGCACCAGCGGTTGAAGAGGCTGTGTTTCTTCCATTGTATGTCTTTGGCTCCTTTGTCGAATATCAGCTGGCTGTAGGCCTGTGGATTTATATCTGGATCTTCTATTCTGTTCCATTGGCTTGGCTGACTTTTTCAAGAAGACCTTTAGACTATTTTCAAGTTTTTACACCAAACAAAACACTATTTATGATGACAACCCAGTTTGGCACCTTACTAGTTGTGAAGGCTGAGCAAAACCTCGAGACCTTTTCTAAGTCAGTCTCATCTATATTAGGGATAATCAAACCCATTTAGGAAAATGGATGTACACATCTCTATTAACATCTGAAAAGCTTGGTGCAATCCAGAATAGGTATTGGACAGGTAGAGGTAAAACATCTTTTTTTGGGGGGGGAGGGGAAGAGCCGGTCATGGGGCCTGAACTCTGGGCCTGGGCACTGTCCCTCAGCAATTCAGCTCAATGCTAGCGCTCTACCACTTGAGCCACAGCACCACTTCCGGCTTTTTTCTTTTTGCTTATGTGGTGCTAAGGAATCGAACCCAGGGCCTCATGCATGCAAGGCAAGCACACTAAGCCACCTTCCCAGCCCTAAAACATCTTTATAAAGAGAAAACTGCTCCAAACTGGGGGTAGTGCTGTGGCTCAAAGTGGTAGAGCTCCAGCCTGGGGCAAAAGAGGTCAAGGACAGTGCTCAAGACTGCAAGTTCAAGCCCCATGACCAACACACACACACACACACACACACACACACACACACACACACACACACACACACACACACACACACACACTAAAAAAAAAAAAAAAAAGCCGGGGACTAGTGGCTCATGCCTGTAATCCTAGCTACTCAGGAGGCTGAGATCTGAGGATCACGGTTCAAAGCCATCCCAGGCAGGAAAGGCTGTGAGACTCTTATCTCCAATAACACACTAGAAAACTAGAAGTGGCGCTGTGGCTCAAGCGGTACTCACCTTGAGCTGAAGAGCACTGAGACAGCGCACAAGCCCAGAGTTCAAGCCCCACAACCGACAAAAAAAAAAAAAAAAAAAGGCTGGGAAGTTGGCTCAGTGGTAGAGTGCTTGCCTCACATGCATGAGGCCCTGGGTTCAATCCCTCAGCACCACATAAGCAGAAAAAAGCGGGAAGTGGAGCTGTGGCTCAAGTGGTAGGGTGCTAGCCTTGAGCTGAAGAGTTGAGGGACAGCACCCAGACCCAGAGTTCAGCCCCCATGACTGACAAAAAAAAAAAAAAAAAGAGGAAACAGACACGTAGTGTCTCACAGTGGGCTGATGGCAGGTAGGAGATCCACCCTGGCCCCTCTACTCAACTGTGCTACCTACACCTTCTGCTGCTGGCATACTTTTACCATCCCCCCATACCAGAAGGCTGTGCTGAACACCAGCAGCACAGGCCAACCACTAAGAGGCTGTATGAAAGGATAGAGGGATAAAGCTGGAGATATCCCGAGGTTTTCCTCTTAGGAAAGAATGCTCACCGTTAGTGCCAGCATCACTTCTCTGTAGTTCCGATTCCCACTGAGCCGCTTCTTCAAAGCTCGAATGGCATCTTTTGGCCTAGAGAAAAGGATAGACATATTAAGGTCCTCACAGGGGAACTAGCTGACAGATTCACTCCCATTGTCAGCTAGCACACATAACAAGATTATTCACTTTGGCTGGGAATGTGGCTTAGTGGTAGAGAGCTTGCCTTGCATGCATGAAGGCCCTGGTTCAATTCCTCAGTATACCAGAAAAAGCAGCAGAAAAAGCCAGAAATGGCGCTGTGCTAAAGTAGTAGAGTGCTAGCCGTGAGCAAAAGATGTTCAGGGATAGTGCCCAGGTCCTGAGTTCAAGCTCCAGGACTGAAAAAAAACCCCCAATTATTCACTTTAGCATGTTTACAGCCATTAAAAAGTTGAAACAAACTGAATGTCTACCAACAGGAAACAGGTTCATCCATCCAGGAGAATACTATGCAGCTTAAAAAAGAATAAAGAAAGTTCTTGCCAGATGCTGGTAGCAACTCAGAAGGCTAAAATCTGAGGATCTAGGTTGGAAGCCAGCCCAGGAAGGAGACTCTTATCTACACTAAGCACTATTTTTTTTTTATTGTAAAGATACTATACAGAGGGTTACAGTTACATGAGTAAGGTAATGAGTACATTTCCTATTGAGCATTGTACTAAACACTATTTTTACAAAGCCAGAACTGGAGCTGTGGCTCCAGTGGTAATGCAGGTCCAGAGTTCAAGCCCTAGGACTGGCAAAAATAATAATAATAATAATAATAATAAAGGAAGTCCTTATCCACCATTATGACTAAATTCACATCATGTGCATAAGGGTTGGGGATGTAGCTAATTGGTAGAGTATTTGCCAAGCATGCACCCACTAGGCCCTGGTTCCACTGGAGGCAAAAAAGGCATGTATATAAAGTCAATGGCAGAACAGTGAATATGGAATGCCACTTTTACATTATAAAAGGGCAACAAATGTAAAGGTAGCATATGCCAGTGTCCAGAAGAGATTTGGGAGGGAGCTGGAAGAACTTGGTGATGGTACTTGTCTCAAAGGAGGGAAAGAGGAGGAAAGCTTTTCATTTGGATTGCCTTTTTACAAGCCTTTTGAATTTTATATCACATGCCAATTGTTCATTCAAGACAGTAACTGATCTATTGGTATGTGGGTATACTGAAGAATCTTCTGGAGAAATCACAAGAGAGATACGGAAGAAAGAATGGTCAGATCTTTGCTGAGGCCAGGAAGTTCAGCTGCTCTTAGACTTCCAGGAACTCCTTTTCCCAGAGAAAATTTACTCAAGTCTCCCCCACAAAAACCAAGGATTGTGTATTTTTAGGCAACCAATCCAATGTGGATTCTCAGAGAAAATCTGAGGCAAACTTTAGTTTACAAATGGGCCCTGTTCAAAAGCCTATTCCTAAACTGAGGGTTTTGAACTTGGAATTAATTCTTCCTCCAATTACACCTGAATATTGTGATCCCAAGCCAGCACTCTAAGCAAATTTATTCTATGGAGGCTTTATGTCTAATATGTTATATAAATTATTCTAATCCAGGATCCAACAAGGTTGTGGGACTAAGAGCTGGCCCTGGCGTAGAGCCCAGTCCCCCGATGCTGTTACTTTGACCTGCTGCAGGCCAGCCCTGTGCTATCACAGTGATCATACTCTAGTCTTTCCTGTTTAGTGTTTGGGAAACAGTGTTTGAACTTTATTTGCCAAATGAAAATGTCCTGTCAGATGGGTATTAGGGAGTCAGGGGAGGATAGGTGAAGTTCTGCTCACAGCATAATCTAGAGAAAAAGCCAGAGTCTCAAGGAAAGCAATCTCAAGGCAAGCTTCTAAAAGAAATTAAAAAGAAAAGGGGGCTGGGAAGGTGGCTCAGTGGTAGAGTGCTTGCCTCCCATGCATGAGGCCCTGGGTTCGATTCCTCAGCACCACATAACATAAAAAGCCAGAAGTGGTACTGTGGCTCAAGTGGTAGAGCTCTAGCCTTGAGCTGAAGAGCTGAGGGACAGCACCCAGGCCCAGAGTTCAGGACCCATGACCAACCAAAAACAAAACAAAACAAAACAAAAAAAACCCTAAACTCTCCCCCTCCTATTTCCCATTCCAAACTTGAAACATAGCTGGCCCTATGGAAATTCTTGGCTCCTGTGTCAAAGGGTAGCTAAGAGGTAGATGGCTTTGGGCCAGTGTGCTTACTCAGGTGCAGTTCCCAAAAGGGGATGCAAATTTCTGCAAATAGAACGTGAGCAGCTCTGCTAGGATGGGTTGAGCTTGTGAAACTCAGTGCCTATTGGCCAGGAATTTAGACTGATTTCTTCTCTCCCACCCATGATCATCCCAGTCCCACAGCTACCATCCCTCTCAGTGCACGCTTTCTTCTCCTCCTAGACTTCTCCTGTGCCCCAAGGCTGCATAATTCTGGATGGTGAAGCACACTTCTGGAAGGTGGAGCACCAGCATCTCTGGCTCACTAGGGTATGCAACAATCAGATAGTCAGCAGGGTTCCTCCCAACTAGGATCACGGTTCAAAGTCAACCTGGGCAGGAAAAGTACATGAAACTCTTATCTCCAATAAAACACTAGAAAGCCAGGAAAAGTACATGAAACTCTTATCGCCAATAAAACACTAGAAAGCCAGAAGTGGCACTGTGGCTCAAGTGATAGAGCGCTAGCCTTGAGCTGAAGAGCTCAGGGACAGTGCCTAGTCCCAGAGTTCAAGCCCCACAACAAACAAACAAACAAAAAAAGTGTGTGTGTGTTTAAGTCACACCAAACAGAGGACTGTGCAGAAGTTTCCACTCTCACCAGGTCATGGCTTTAGCTGCTTAAGTGCTTAAGCCTACATAGGTAAGGCAAGATCTTGAGCTAGGTCTTTACTGATTGGATTAGTAAACTCCGTTGTTAGCCTGCTGTTAGCCTAATCTCTCTCCCTTCATCCCTCCATTCTTTCCTCCCTCCCCTTCCCTCTTGACCTCCAGACCAGAGATCATTCACCACTTGATCACCTATACCCTACACCACCACTAGCCATTTCTCCTAAGAGCACCTCCTTCTGGGAGGTAAGGATTCTAGTTTCCTTGATGGGCCCTGGAGAGTGAATTTCCTGGTTTTCCAGGGACCCCCTCTGGCTTACTGGTTTTTAGGGATGCCCAGCCACTTAGTGGAGGATCATGCTGGCCTTAACCTAGTATTTGGGGATGAACTAATAGAGGTTCTTGATCATCATCCTTGTCCTCACTGCCTTCTACATGGGGTCACAATAGTCCATTCCAGCTGACAGCTGATTCCAGCTGGTTTGTCTTCTAATTATTCTGGGTTGGAAACTGGATCTAAAATCAAAGAATCTGTTTCTGCATAGAAATTTGGCCTCAGTATCAATTGGACAATCACAATCCAATGGCCCGAGTATGGGACTTTTGACTCCCTCAAATATTGCAAAATATGGACAATTTCTTCCAGTGGAATGGCAAAAGGTCAGAGGTGCCCTATGCACAAACATTTTTCCCCACCTCCGTTCCCAGCCATCCCTACACTCTTCTTGTTCCACAACCCAAATTCTTTTAGCTAAAACTGTCCCCTCAAAACCTTCTACCTCTACCAATCCTCCCCTTTCCTCCCCTCCTTCTTTTCCCTCTCACACACTCTCAGGCTACTAAAGCTCCCCTACCTCTAGCCACCAACACTATGTATTTCCTCCATGAGGTGGCAGGAGTAGAGGGCACTAGGTGGGTGCATGTTCCATTCTCTGTGGATGATATGGCTCAAATTAAAGAGAAACTTAGAAAGTAGGGGAGGCCTCAGATGAGCAGAGCTTTTATCTCCAATTAACCACCAGAAAATGGGAAGTGGCGCTGTGGCTCAAAGTGGTAGAGCACTAGCTTTGAGCAAAAAACTCAGGCATATTGCCCAGTCCCTAGGTTCAAGCCCCATGACCAAGAAAAAAAAATACTAAAGGATAAATAGCCAATCCATATATGTGGCATGGTACTATATTTGAATTTGAAGTATTTTCCAAAGACCCATGAGTTATTTTTTTAATAATTGATTTCATTATTTTATTAGATTTATCAATATACATGGCAGCTTTAGGCCCATGAGTTATAAGCTGAGCTTCTAGTCTGTGGTTCTACTCAGAGGTGGTAGTACCTTTAGAAGGTAGGGCCTCAGTGAAGGAATAAGGTCATTGTGGTGTGTGATTGATGAGAATATTGAGACTAAAGTCCCTTTCTGCTTTGCTTTCTGGCCAGCATAAATTAAGCAGCTTCTTCTGCCACACACTCTCCTATTATAATATGCTACCTTTCCACAGACCCAAAAGCAACAGACTAACAGACTGAAATCCTCAAACTCTGAGTCAAAATAAGGCTTTCCTCTTTTTAAGTTGATTATCTCAAGTATTTGTTACAACAATTGAATAATAGAAAGCTGACTGGCACACATGGAGATAGACATCATGTCCAAATAGCGAGGTACTTTATATGCATTTGCTTCTTTAATCCTTTCACAGTCACATGAAATGAATACTGAATACTACTGGAACCTCCATTTTATAAATGAGGAAACTTCAGACACAGGAAGACAAAGTAACACACCTAGTGTTTGTACAAGTGAGAGGCGATACAGGCTTCTACCCCAGGTTCCACAACCCTAAATCCACTCCTGGATGCTTCCTATATACCTGATCTATGCATTGCTCTCTGGCCAGGAAGCTCCACCTTCCTACCATCATCAACCTGTCTCATCTTGCTAATACCCTGGTATCCTACAAGATTCTACTTGAGTGTCAGCCCCAAAGCTAATAAGTGGCCACTGTGTTACTCTGCCTCCATGACAATAGTGTGTGTGTGTGTGTGTGTGTGTGTGTCTGTCTGTCTGTCTGTCTGTCTGTCTTTCTTGTCTGAATTGTTTATCAGACCATGAATACCTTAGTTTTTTCCTTCATTTATTCACTTACTTAAAAAAAGATTTACTAAGAGCTGACAAGATGCATGCTGTGCTCTACTCAGGATAAAATGGTGAATAAAAACAGGATTCCTGCCCTCATGGAGCTCACAGATTAGTGGGTTTGCAGCACACACAGACACTAACAGACATCACATAGATATATGATGTCCAACACCAGATACTATGAAATTGTATAACGGAGGACTTGTTCAACTTGGGAGAAAACCCCTCCCATTCCAGAGAAGTGATTGACACTGAAGTCAGTGACTATTGGGAACTAGAGAAAGAGACTGGGCAAAGAAATACAAGGAGCAGGGCTAGGAAGGTGGCTCAGTGGTAGAGCGCTTGCCTTGCATGCCAGAGGCCTTGGGTTCGATTCCTCAGCACCACAGAAGCAAAAAGAAAAAAGCTGGAAGTGGTAGAGCGCTAGCCTTGAGCTGAAGAGCTGAGGGACAGCGCCCAGGCCCAGAGTTCAGGCCCCACAACCGGACCCAAAAAAAAAAAAAAAAAGAAATACAAGGAGCAGCATTCAGGAGCCCTCCAGTGAGAGGCAGAAAGGAATGGATGGCACTCAGTCCAGTTTGTGGTGTTTTGGGAAGGAATTTGACAATCACCTGAGAGTAGAGGCAAGCACAGAAACTCCTCAAGAATTACCATAGTCCCCTAGTTCCAACACACAAGAACAGGAGCTTGGATCACAGTAGAAGTTGCGACCAGGCCTTTTGTAAGCCATGACTGAGAAAACAGCTCACCAGACTGGACAGATTTTGGAAGGGATTTAGCACCTTTGGAAGGAGGAACATCCCAGAGTTCTTTGGCCATCTGCCCTCAAGCCACATAGGTATTTGAACAATTCACTGGAAAATAAGAGTTGTTTGCATGTTTTGTATGGCACTCATCTTTGAAGAGAATTTCAAGCTAGGGACTTGAACGATCAGTGGGGTTGAAAGGCTATAAAGGAGTATGCTGAGGGTTATTTTGTCCTAAGAGCCTGAGAAAGCCTTGAAGGTTTGTTAGCAATCACTTGCTGAGATCTGCTGTAGAAACAGGATGAGAAGGAAAAGGCAGGAGCAGATGCAACTTCTGGGGGAAACCATAGAGGAGATAAACACATACCAACCTTGGCAACCCTCCAACCTAATTTCAGACATTCATTCTTCACGTTGTACCCCAGACTGTCTGTATCCTGCAACCTGTTGGCTTTCCTCATGCCACTGGGCACAGGGAACACTGCTCTTCCTGCCGGCTTTGAAGCCCAGCTCAATGTGGGTCCTTTTACAAAGTATCTGCTGTGCTTCTCCCTCAGAGCTTGCCATATTCACCACAGTCTGGCCAGCACTCCCAAGTGAGTCCTCATGGGTGGGCTGGCATATTCACCTTAGAATCCTAGAATCCTACTCTCCATCCGTAGGGGTCAAATTGTGGGGAGTCTGGATAAATGAGAGAATGAGTGGTATTTGAGTGCAGTACAAGAGAAGAAAGGAGCCAGAAATTATGCTATTAGAGATGGGCTGATGTAGGCTGCTGCTTCCAACTCCACAGTCACCTGTGCAGTCAGTCACTTTACAGCATTTCTTCTGGGAGCTGAGATGGCAGCTAGGATCTGGCTTTTGTCTCTGTCCCCTAGGCTGATTTGTTTTAGCAGGTAGCTGCTCCATTCTGTGGTTCTCCAGAACCCAAACCTTGGTATTATCCTTGTCTCTTTGTTTGCCTCATATCACAGATTCTGCTGGTTCTGCCTTCTGAATCTAGCCAGAACCTAACCGTTCTCTCTGTATCCTACTACTTTCCTGGTGAGGCCACCATCATCTCACACCAGGATGACTGTAAAAATCTTTTGGATTGCTGCTCTGTCCCTGGCCTGCCCTAGCCAGGCCATTCTGAACCCAGTGGACTGGGCGAACTCTAAAATGAAAAGTTGAACCATGCCACTTTTCTGCTCTGCTTCTCCCATGAAAATCATGAGTGGGTGAGTTCCTCTCTTACCTGAGGTCAAAGCCAGAGTTATTCTGATGCCCACAGATCCTTGCATTTCTGGGTTCCCATATCACCTCCTTCCTCAGTCACTCTACTGTAGGCCCACCAGCTACTTTTTATTTTTTTTGTCTGTTGTGGAGCTTGAACTCTGGGCCTGGGTGCTGTCCCTCAGCTCTTCAGCCTAAGGCTAGTGCTCTACCACCTAAGCCATAGTGCCACTTCCAGTTTCCTGGTGGTTAATTGGAGATAAAAGTAACATGGGTGTTCCTGCCGGGGCTGGGTTTGAAGCATGATCCTCAGATCTCAGCCTCCTGAGTAGCTAAATTTACAGGCATAAGCCACCGGCACCTGGCTTCTACCAGCCACTTTGCAGTTCTTCAAACACACCAGATACCCTCCTAGACTTCTGGGCTTGTTATTCCCTCTGCCTGGGTGGCTCTTCTTTTGTATAATCCTTATGCCTCACTCCCTCATCTGCTTCAAAGCTTTATTCAATGTCACCCTGTTAGTGAGAATATCCTTCAGTACTCTGTTTAATACTGTGAATCTCTAGCCTTCTCTTTCCCATTCTTTCCATAGTGTTCTCCCATCTGATCAGCTTATGAGTTTTAGCTGTCTACTTCACAGCCTACCTCCCCCTTGAGATTGACAGCTCCCTGAGGGGAAGGAGTGTATCTTGCACATTTCTTTCTTTCTTTCTTTCTTTTTTTTTTTGGGTCCGGTCGTGGGGCTGAACTCTTGGCCTGGGTGCTGTCCCTCAGCTCTTCAGCTCAAGGCTAGCACTCTACCACTTGAGCATTTTTTTTTTCTGCTTATGTGGTGCTGAGGAATCGAACCCAGGGTCTTAAGCATACAAGGCAAGCGCTCCACCACTGAGCCAACTTCCCAGCCCCATATCTTGCACATTTCTATGTCCTTTGGACTTACATCTGTTGAATGAAAGAAAGACTTTTAGAGGTTAAGTAATTTGCTAGTTTTTACATGATGGAGACTAGTGAATGATAGTGCCAAGATGCAAGCCAGGGCTGCACTGGTCCCAACATGTCACCTGGGTTTGAAAAGGCAATAAATAACTGTGTTTATGGTATTGATGGGGCTAAAAATAGAGAGGAGCTACAAAGCAAAAGAGAGGCCATAGGTGACAGCAAGAATGGTACAGGAATGCAAGAGGGAAACCCAGGGGTAAGTCTATGCCAGAAACACTCTGCAGCTCTGTACCATGTCTGTCCTTTCCCACATCCTGCCTTATCAACCCATACCCCGGACGTCCCTTCCTTGTGCATGGTGGCACCTCTGACTTCTGGGGAAAAGAAAGAGTACCATGTTTGCCAAGTGGAGCCAGAGTCCAGAGAGGAGTAGGGATTGAATGATTAGACTGTAGGGATTATTGGCCACCGAAGACTAGGTAACCAAGCTGCTTCCTTTCCCTGTATGATTCCAAGAGACTGTCATTACCATTGGGATGGTCAAGAAAAAGATAAAACTACTAAATGCCAAAGTAAACAGACTAAAACTTACAGAAAGTCAAACCTACCACCCTTGAGTCCTAACAGGCTTTCAATGATTCCTAAGAGCTGAGAGCTTCCTAGAAGGAAGGGATGACTGGGACACATACCCTTCTTCTGTCTCATTGATGATGTCACAGATCTCCATGTTCAATGTCCAATCTTCACTCTGTAGGGAGCCATCTGTTGCCTTTTCTGTAAAATCAGAGAGAAAACCTTGTTGACATTTATCCTGGAATAGAATATCCTACACCCAACTCATGGCCATGCAACAGAGCCAATCTGGGGGTGCTACTTTCCCAAAAGAACACTCAAGGAAAAAGCCGGGCGCTGGTGGCTCACACCTGTAATCCTAGCTACTTAGGAGGCTGAGATCTGAGGATCAAGGTTCAAAGCCAGCCCAGGCAGGAGAGACTGTGAGACTCCTATCTCCAATAAACCACCAGAAAACCGGAAGTGGCGCTGTAGCTTAAGTGGTAGAGCGCTCGCCTTGAGCTGAAGAGCTGAGGGACAGCGCCCAGGCCCAGAGTTCAAGCCCCACGACCGACAAAAAAAAAAAAAAGAACACTCAAGGAGAGTGCTGGGCCCAGGAAGGGCAAATGTCATAACGTGGTCTCCATTCTCTGAAATCTAGACCAAAATGCTAACAATAGGCCACTGGAGGCCACAGATTGTGGGTTTGAATACAGGCTTCACCACTTCTTACTTGTGTGACATGAGGCCAGTTACTTAACTGTAGCTGTCAAACCTAGTGAAAACTATAGTATTTATTCCACTGAATGGCTACAAAAATCAAATGGGCTAATATAAATAAAACACTTAGAATATAGCTCAGAACATAGTTATCTATAGATTTTTTTTTCTATTATAATTATTATTTTACTTATTTATTTATTTTGTTGATTGTGGGGCCTGAACTCTGGGCCTGGGCACTGTCCCTCAGATCTTCAGCCACAGCACCACTTCTGGCTTTTTCTGCTTATATGGTGCTAAGGAGTCAAACCCGGGGCCTCATGCATGCTAGGCAAGCACTCTACCACTGAGCTACCTTTCCAGCCCTTCTATTATAATTATTAAATATCAACTGCCACAGTTAAAAACTATATCTCAGGGGGAAAAATGGAAGCAAAAGGAAGTATCATTCAGTAGATCACTAGAAACATGGTATTACGATTTGGATCTTAAATGTCCCCCAGAAGTCTAGGTGCTAAGAGCTTGGTTGACAATCTGTGGTTCTATTGCGCAGTGGCAGAACCTTTGGGAAGTAAAGCTTTATGGAAGGAAGTTAGATCATTGGAGATGTGATCCTGAAGGGGACCCTGACCCCTTCCTTTCACTTGTTTTGCTTAATGGTCTCCATGAGGTGAGGATTTTTCCTCCACCATGTGCTTCCCACCAACAGAGCCAACTGACCTTGTACTGAAACTATGAGCCAAAATAAACCTTTCTTCCTTTTAAGGTGTTTAAGTATTAGGTGTTTTGTTGTTGTTGTTTTTTGCAAGTCCTGGGGCTTGAACTCAGGGCACTGTCCCTGAGCTTTTGTGCTCAAAGCTAGCTTCTACTTCTTGAGCCACAGCTTTGCTTCTGGTTTTTTTTTGTAGTTTACTGGAGATAAGAGTCTCATGGACTTTCCTGCCTGAACTGACTTTTGAACTGCAATCCTCATATTGCAGCCTCCTGAGTATCTAGGATTACAGGCATGAGCCACCAGTGCCTGGCAAGTACTTATGTTTTATCTGAGGCATTTGTCACAGTGACAGAAGCTGATTTAACACATGGTATTAGTTGCTTCATGTGCATTGCTTATTTTATCTACAGACCAACCTTTCACCATTCAAAGGAGGAAAGAACAATCCTTTCAACAAATGGTACTGAAAAACTAGATGTCCACATACAAAAGAGTAAGGGTGAACCCTTATCTTACACTGTATACAAAAATTAACTCCAAATGAATTAAAAATATAAACAGCAAAAACTGTAAAACTTTTAGAAGAGAAAGAGCATAAGGGGAAAGCTTCATGACAATTGATTTGGCAATGACTTCATGGATATAACACCAAAAGCACAGGCAACAAATGAAAAAAAATACAGAAACAGAACAATAGCAAAAGTTAAAACTGGAGATGGAGCTCAGAGGTAGAGCACCTACGTTGCATGTATATGGTTCTGAGTTCGATTTCTAGCACAGCAAAAAACAAACAAGCAACCCAATGTATTAAAGTACATAATCAACAGAATGAAAAGGTGATCTACAGAATGGGAGAAAAATGTTTCCAAATCATGTATGAGATGAAAGGTAAATATTCAAAATATATGTATAGGAAGTGGAGCTGTGGCTCAAGTGGTAGAGCGCTAGCCTTGAGCTGAAGAGCTGAGGGACAGTGCCCAGGCCCAGAGTTCAGGCCCCAGGACTGGACCCAAAAAAAAAAGAAAAAAAAGAAAATAACCACTGCACTGGAGGTATGGCTCAAGTGGTAGAGCAACAGCTTAACACAAAAGAGGCCCTAAACTCAATCCCCAGTATTGCTTAAAAAAAAAAACCAAAAAACCTCCCCAATTTAAAACATAGAGAAAAGACCATAACAGACATTTCTCCAAGGAAGTCATACAAATGGCAAGCAAATATATGAAAAACTATTTCCATTTACTAAGCATTAGAGAAATGCATCCCACAATGAGATATTATCCCATATCCATTACCATGGCTATTATCAACAATAATAAGTGCTGGTGAAGATGTGGAGAAAATGGGACTCTTCTGCACAGTTAAATAATGTAAAATAATGCAACCACAATGGAAAACAGTAATGTGGGTCCTCAAAAACTTAAGCATAAAATTACTATAAGATCCAGAAATTCTACTTCTGAATATATATTCAAAAGTATTAAGGGGCCAGGTACAGTGGTACAGGTTTATAATCCCATCTACTCAGGAGATAGAGATCAAAAGGACAGAGTATTAAGCATACTTGTAAAAAGTTAGCAAGACTCCATCTCAACAAATAAACTGGACATGGTGGTGGTATGTGCCCGGAATTAAAGCCATGCAAACAGTAAGAGGATCAAGGTCCAAGTCAAGTCCCCCATAAAGACTGGAGACCTTAGCTAGAAAACAAAGTTTAGGAATACAGGCTCCAAGTGGTAGAGCCTTTGCTTTAGCAAGTGGAGAAGCCCTGAGTTAAGACCCTCAGAACCACCTGGCACTGGTGGCTCCCTCCTGTAATCCCAGCTACTCAGGAGGCTGAGATCTGAGGATCGTCCTTCAAAGCCAGCCTGGGCAAGAAAGTCCATGAGACTCTTATCTCCAATAAACCACTCAGAAAACCAGAAGTGGCAGAGTGGCTCAAGTGGTAGAACGCTAGCCTTGAGCTGAAGAGCTGAGGGACAAGGCCCAGGCCCCAGAGTTTAAGTCCCCCCCCCCCAAAAAAAGACCCACAGAACCACTAGTAATAATGATAATGATGATATGATGATGACAATAATAATAATAGAGAGCAGGGTCTCAAAGAGATACTTGTGTAGTCATGTTCACAGCCAAATTATTCATAAACTAAAAGGTGGGAAATATCCAGTTATCCTTTCACAGGTACATACAAACAGGCTATTGTTTAACCTTACAAAGGAAGGAAATTCTGACACATGCTATGCAATGGTTGAATCTTAAGGACATTATGCTCAGTGAGATCATCAAAACATAAAAGAATACACATGTATGATTCCAATCCTATGAGCTACCTAGGGGAGCTCACAGTTAGAAAGTAAAACAATAATTGTTAGGCTGAAGGGAGGGACAGTGGGGTGGGGTCAGTGCTTACTGAGTACAAAGTCTCAATTTGGGAACATGAAAAGATTCTGGGAAGGGATGATGGTTAGGATTGCACAATGGTGTAGATAATACCATAGCCCTGTACACTTAAAAATAATTGAGGTAGGGGCTGGGAAGGTGGCTCAGTGGTAGTGTTTGCCTTGCATGCATGAGACCCTGAGTTCAATTCCTCAGTACCACATAAGCAGAAAAAGCCAGAAGTGGTGCTGTGGCTCAAGTGGTAGAGGGCTAGCCTTGAGCTGAAGAGCTGAGGGACAGCGCCCAGGCCCAGAGTTCAGGCCCACAACCAACAACAAAAAAAAAGTTGAGGCGGTAAATTTTACATTATGTTCATTTTACCGTTTAAAAAATCATGGGAAGGAAGGGAGGGAGGGATCAAGGGAGAAAGGAAGGGAGGGAGAAAGGAGGGGGAGGGAGGGAAGGTCTAGAGAGTATATATAGGTCAATGAACTGTTGGATTAGAAGGATCAGTGAGATAAGGATTAGAGATCATTCAGGTCTGTTGCCTCATTTGACAGAAGACTTGAGGCCTAGAGAAGAAAAAAGAAGTGTCCAAGAGCTCAGGATCAGAACCAGTCCCATGGTTACTTGACTTTTGTCCCTCTCTGGATTGTGAGATCCATGATAGTAGGGACTATGTCTGTCCTGCCTTCTTACTATGTTCTCAGTAGTCAGTGCTTGATAGCTGTGCAACACTTTTATTTGATGAAAGGCCATGGTAGCACTCCCCCCTCTAAGTTAGTATTTCTCAGTCCTGGCTGCACAGAATACACACCAACAATAGACATGCCCCAGAGGTTTTGATTTGATTTGTATGGGAACTACCCAGGCATTCAGTTTGGGTATTTTGTTTATTTGTTTTAGGTGTTTTTTTTTTTTTTTTAGTAAGTCTGGGGCTTGAACTTGGGACCTGGGCACTGTCCCTAAGACTTTATGCTCAAGGCTAGTGCTCTATCATTTGAGCCACAGCTCCACTTCTAGCTTTTTTGATAGCTAAAGGGTCTTACAGACTTTCCTGCTTGAGCTGGCTTCAAACTGGGATCCTCAGATCTCAGACTCTTGAGTACCTAGGAATACAGGCATGAGCCACCAGTGCCCAGCCCATTCACAGTTTTGCATCACACCTTTTCCTGGAGCTCTCTCTAGCTGAGCAGTGAGAGAGAGAGACTCAGTAGTTTCCTCTGACAGTGTACAGTCTTTGGCTGGTTCTCTGCCTTATCTCATCATTCTGCAGGCTCTATGTCTGTCACAGTGCAATAGGGTGGCATTCCTGTCCTCTATAGCTCCCTGGTACCACAACACAGACATCAAAGTACCCGGAGTGCTGTGGCTCTCCTGTTAGAGCCCAGGCTGGACTGCCTCATGCCTG